TAGTCTTTGTCAGCAACTTTAAATGAGATGCGATGTTGCCCGCTCTGGCCCCGGGTATACACCTAACTATGCCCGCTGACTTCGCTAGCTTCACGTTTCGGACTATGGAGTCTCCAATAATCAGAGTTTTATTCTCAGTGGGTGTGTCGCTGAGTGGGGAAAATTTGTTTGAAATGTGAAGTGGTTGGTGGGGAACCGTGTGCTTCGATTTTTGACTATGCTTCCCTCAGACAGTAACCCAGCCACTGCCTCCCGGCTGCTCACGAGCTACCGGGGGGGAAGCCAAGCTATGTCGGCCCACACCGGCTACAGGTGGCTGGCTAACTACTGCTGCATACGATGACTCTGACTCAATGGTGCGGAGCCGTCTCTCTAACTCAGACACCCTCGCCTCCAAAGCTGAAAATGAACTACATTTCTTACATGTATCATTATCACTAAAAGAGGACGAGGAGTAACTTAACATCTGACACGTGAGGGAGAGACGTGTCAGAAGCCATTATAAAGCTAACTGCTAAGCTAAGCTAAGAGTAGGTACACAGTAACACAGTACAGAGGAGAACAGAACAGAAAATGATGCAATACGCTCACCCGTAGTTCGCTGCTCGGGTGCTGCTCGCTGCTTTGCTCGGGTGATGCTCGCTGCTGTGCTCGGGAGCTGCTCGCTGCTCTGCTCGGGTGCTGCTCGCTGCTCTGCTCGGGTGCTGCTTGCTGCTCACCAAAGGTGATTGAGCATGCAACTCAGCAAGTTCTTGATCTGCACTGGACTGCTTATTTAAAACATCACCCTTCAGGAATGAAGCATGGATAATGCGGTCAGCCTGCAGGGTTGAGGTAGGTTTTGGAGTTCAGTCTGATTCACCTTCCAGCACACGAGCACTAACTGAAGCTTCAGCTGGCAGGGTTAGGGGACAGAACATCATCTTATCCATGCAAACGTCCACAGGAAGTTCAGCGGTAGTCAGAGGTGAAGAATAAGAGGACAAGGCTGGTTCCTCGTCGGGTTGAACATCCATCACCTTACCCTCCAGGACTGACGCAAGGAGGCAGGGTTACAGATGGTACTGGAGCTTGTACAGCTACAGAGTCTGGTTCACTGCTGGGCTCTTCATTCATAACCTCACCCTCCAGCACTGGAGCGACAAGTGATGGCTCAGTTGGCAGGGTTACTGGAGTTGAAGGGCTTGGTATAGCCTGGCAGTTAAACTCTGAACCCTGAACAGCCGTGTTGGCTGGGTGTTCATTGGCAGGTATGTCCGTTTGAGTTTGAGCCTCAAACAACCCACAGATGTGCCCAACTACAACATCAGTGATGGTGTTCAACAACTGTGCTTCAAAGCAGTTCTTCGTCTTCTTTAGGATGTCTGGAGTGTAAATCTGTCTCACCTTCCCTGTAATAGAGAGGACCATGTTGTCCCTCATTGGTAGACAGAGCAGTGGACAGCCTTTGTTATTCCAACAGCCATCTTACTGAGCTGCTGGGAGGGCATTTCCCGGGAGGTGGTTTTTGGAGGAACCCATAAGTCCTGCAGGACTATGGAACGACATCCATCACCATCCCTTGTGGGCCCAACTCTTTGGAAATGTGAACCTCATGTTGTTGTTCTGCTAGGATCCTGAAGTATTCATGCGCCTGGCTGATGATCCTAGGTGTGTCGAAAGGACGGTGGCATCTTCTCTGGTAAGTTGAGCAATCTTTTTGCTTCAAACTCCACATCTCTTACCTGCAAGCTGGTGTTCACCTCCCACACCAGCTTGAGCAGAGGCTTGACGTCCACATCATTAAAATCCTCCAACTCAGAGTCCCAGAGTTGCAGTCTGAGAGACTTCTCGCTCTCCATCACCAGTAGGTCTGTGAGATCTTCCACAGTAACCTCAGCCGGGAGCTCGTTCTTCTGAAGATGGAAGAATTCAGGGTAACACTTTATATTAAGGTACACCTATTCACCATTAATTAGTTGCTTATTAGTATGCAAATTAGTAACATATTGGCTCTTAATTAGTCAATGTTAAGTACTTATTAATGCCTTATTCTGCATTGCCTTATTATACAACCAGTAAGCCATTAACTAAGAGTTTTCCATTAATAACCTCAGAATTATTGCTTATTAGTAGTAAGTAAGGAAGTTGTTGTATATGAATTACGATCTCAATATGCTTTGCTTAGTATGGACTTTATAAGGTGGTAGTACCACAAGAATAGTTATTCTCCCTTAATAAAACTTAATGAATATGGTCTGTTCTTACATAAGAAAACAGAAAACTACAAGTGTTAATAGTGTCCAAATAACTCTAAATTAAGTCTTTGTTACTTAGAATATGTTCCCCATACTAAAGTGACATCTTGAGCTTTACTAATTCACTAGTACAGTGGTTGTCAAACTTTTTAGACTGCGTACCATCTCCGAAAATATCTGGCTCTCCAAGTACCACCATTATGGTAGATGTTAAAATACACTGTAGGCCTATTTCTACACACATTTTACGTAGGAGGTTATTTATTATTGACTGTTGGCAGCCACACTATAGGACTACTAAGGGCTAGCGCTAGAACAGGCAAACAACACTGACATTTACCCAAATCAAAAAAAAAGTGCAGCACAATAAAAATGACAACTTTATACCAACAACCTGTTTGAGAATATTTAATCTCCAGTGTTTCCCACTAATAGACGATACCTGGGCCCAAGTATATTTCCGACCTGTTCTTATTTACCTGTTTGTCAAGGCCAGTCTGACGTCAATGCCCATGGAGCCACAGCATCCACAAGAGCTGAGAAGGAGGCATTGTCAGACAAACACTTACTGCAGGAAAAATATGACCATTGTCCTGCAAGGGGTGCAAGCGCCCTGTGAGTGGGAAGTGCACCGTAAAGGTTGAGCACTTTTGCTGCAGGTATGTGCATTACGTTTATTTTTATAATTGTATTTATGTAAATACTTGCTGCTGTTTTATCCTGCACTACAATGAGCCAAATGCAACGAAATTTTGTTCTTATCTGCACTGTAAAGTACAAGTTTGAATGACAATAAAGAAAGTCTAAGTCTAAGTCTAAGTTACATGCCGCGGCGCTGTCCAAGGTGCCGATCGTTGATTTGTTCATCTGTTTGTTTGTTTGCCGCTGCATCTGTTATGGATTTCTGCAGTTCTTTTTGTGGGCTATATAGTTTGTCATGCCCATAGATAGCCGTATTTTTGTTGTTGTTGTTGTTGTTTTTGGCGTGCGTGTGTGTGTTGGTCACAATGATTTCCTCTATGTTGGGGAAACAAACCCAGTTTCAGAGAGGAGGAGGAGCATCAGTGTTTATCTCTTTTTTTGCAGTGTTTTTATTAAAATGCATAGCCTAATATATCCAATATTATAATAGACTAAAAGTTCTGTATGTTTCAGTATTGTAGAATGTGTTTTAGCAACGGGAGACGTGGAGCAGCAGTGAAAAACAGCGCACTAAAAAAGCCGATAGATATTGTAAATTGACATGCAACATTTAAAAGGTTACCAATCCTGCCTTATGCTGATAGTCTATTTGGTTTGTAGATAAAAGTAAGTTATATTTAACTTACTTTTAGCAATGTGATGTAGCAATGTGGAAGACTGGGAGGAGGAGACCATTGAGTTTTTTATCAACGAAGAAATCATTCCCCTTGGCGATCAATGTAAAATACCTTACAAAGAGAAAGGTATTTTACCTGCTTTTTGTAAAGTGTCTTGAGATAACACTTGTTATGAGTTGACGCTCTTGCTCAAGATCCTTTATTATTTTTTCTTGGCTTCTTGGAACTCCACTTTGGAGATTGATCCTTGAAAATAAAAATGAGAGCAGGATACAAAAAAGATTATGATTTGACAGTATTGAGTGAGTGAGTGAGTGACCAATCATGTCATGTGACATCCTCATCCAATCATCCAAAGGGAGCCACCAGTCACGTCACAGATCCGGAGAAGGTGGCTATTTACCGTTTCATTCACCGCTTGGAGAGTGAAGAGGGAAATTCGTTTAACAAATATGGAAAGTTAAGCACTAGCCTGTTAATTGAAACTCCCCCTGAGTTTTGTAAGCACATCATAACACCCGTCCCCGGGCCGTTTACATAGTTAAAGAGTAGTAAACCCTCCTGTTTATCTGCAGTGTGTAGGCTAATTAGCAAATGTAATGTTGAGTGCATGACTGTGCACGTGAGCTGGGTGAATAGTAGGAAAGAAACAGTAACATAAACATAAAATGTGAATGTAGGTGCACATGTAATGCTTTAGTATGAACCACATTTTGTCATGAAAAATAAATTATGCACTATGCAGTCATTGGAACAAGAAGAGCTTTTGAATCTTGAGTAGATTATTTAAGTTACATTTTGCCGGTTATAGTGACATGAATTTATTTATATTTTTACAGCCTAAGGCCAAGAAGAAAATGTCCCTAAAAGTCCCTAAAGATGACTCGATGACCTGGATGGTACATTTTTCTTTGTCAACTTTCAAGTAACTTTAATACTTAAATAATTAGCTTGTCCAAATGTGTTTAAACATTTAAAGTGCTCTATTCATATGTTGATTTTGTTGTACCTATGCCATACTGTAGGTCCTGAAGATAAAGGAAGCTCTGCTCCAAGTTGCAGCAGCATAAGCAGCATTGGATCAGTTAATGATTTCTAATTTTCTAGCATGTGCTTACAAATCAAGTTAAGGCACACACCACATCTGGTCCACTACCTTTGTTGCATGCATGTAATTCTCTCTCTCTCTCTCTCTCTCTCTCTCTTACACACTCACTCACTCACTCACTCAATACTTGAGCAAGAGCGCAATTTCTTGCGTGAGCAAATCATGGGATAGAAGAAATCATGTGAGTGGTTTGGGAGCAACTTGTATCTGCAAAATGTAATGTAATTGTCATGAAAGGTGTGATATATCTTCATAACAATCTGATCTTTGTCTCATCTATCCTCTATTTGATCAAAGCTCAACCAAAAGTATTTACTTTGGAGGACGACGACGAGAATGACGATGGCAACATGGATGAAGATGACGTCATTCCCCCATCTTCTATAAACATCAGTGAGTCTTTGGACAGTGATGTTGTCATCCAAAGACGGAAGACACGTTGGACACAGCCACCTGCATCTGCAACTGTGGCTGTGCCTGGAAAAGCTCATGTGAGAGGTAAGAATGGCATAACTTGAACCACCTGCCTTGTTAGCAACAAGTGGTCATGAAAAGTAATTATTAATAAAAGCGTTGGAAGAGCTGTTAAAAATATGTTCTGAAGTAATTATGAGGCAAAAATACAGATCTTCAGTTCTAGATTTTGAATATACTAGGAATTTGATGATAAATAAAAATTAAATGTCTAAAGTCAAAAATGTGGCTTTCATCAAGAATAAAGCTCCATTTTATTTTGCAGCATTCACACTTATTATTATTCAACATCAAATGTATTGCTAGAAAGATTTGTCTCTCAGAAGTAAACATAATTCTGAACCGTAAGACTTGCAAACTAAACGGATCTTACAGAGTATCATTTTTGTATTGAATTCTGAACCACATATTGTGCGTGGAATCATATCAGGAGATGAGCAGATGGTTCCATTCCTAGAATATGCTTCATACTTTTAACAAAAAAGAAGTGACCAGTTTGAGCAATTTCAGCTGACCTTAAGCCGTTGTTTGTGCTCATTTCTCGTGTTCTTTTGTTTTTGTTTCATATATTTTTCAGTGAAAGGGCCAGCTGAGGTTATCAGCAGATATAAAAAAGTCTTGAAAAGCTTCAGCAAAGTCCGCACCATGACTGAAGCCTTCAGAATCAATGGCGTGGACCAGGGAACCATCAAGATGACTGCTGCAATTGCAGAGCTCAACATCGTGGATCCTGAAACCTTCAAGACCCTGAAGTATGATCCTGCAACTGAGACCCTGCAGTCCTTTGCCAAGAGGTGTGCAACCCACATTACCCCTGAGAAGAAGAGCATTCTAGAGGACATGAAGACCAAAGGCCAACTCCTCCCCTTGTTGATGAAATATTAAAACCTAAGTGAGTTGCTTTGTTCAGTTAAAAATCTGTTGTATTGTATTGGAAAGGGGAATATTAACCTGTGCAGATTTTGTTTTATCCTTGTTAGTGCACAGGGGAAATAAATCACCTGATGCAGTAATTATAGAGCAAGTTTAGGCTGTGAAAGTGCAATGTTTGTACAGTTCAGTACATTTGTTCTAAGCTTTGACAAGTATAGTTTAGCTGATAAAGAGCAAGTTCATATTGAGCTGTGCAGGTTTTATATTGTGCAATTTCTTTTATTTTTGTACTTAATATTGTGCAGTATTTTATATTGTGCTGTTTTTTGTAAGCAGGCAGATTTTGGTTAAAAGATCACACAGATTTTCAACAATAGTGTACCTGTATTATCATACAGTATGACCTGCTTATACATTTGATACCATATTGTATGACATGTTTATATACACTGATACTTGTCAGTGTTTGAATTTTCAGGCAGACCCCATTACCTGTAAGTTAAACTACACAGCAAGTTCAGGCAGTATTTGTTGTCAGCCTTGGGAAAACCTGAACCAGTGGTTTAATAAATGAGGTATTTGTACTTGTGTTGTCTTTGTTATTCTACAACTGAATGAGGGGGAACCTATAGATATATCCATTTTTTTCAAAGGTGTAACCCATCACTTGTTCATTGCAGTAGTTATGTACTATAATATATTAACGAAGTGTGAAAAGGAGGCAACTTTAGATTAGGTGTTGGTTAATAAGTGTTCAACTACTAGTGAATTAGTAAAGATCAAGATGTCACTTTAGTATGGGGAACATATTCTAAGTGACAAAGATTTAATTTAGAGTTATTTGGACACTATTAACACTTGTAGTTTTCTGTTTTCTTATGTAAGAACAGACCATATTAATTAAGTGTTATTAAGGGAGAATAACTATTCTTGTGGTACTACCACCTTATAAAGTCCATACTAAGCAAAGCATATTGAGATCGTAACTCATATACAACAACTTCCTTACTGACTACTAATAAGCAATAATTCTGAGGTTATTGAGGGAAAACTCTTAGTTAATGGCTTACTGGTTGTATAATAAGGCCATGCAGAATAAGGCATTAATAACTACTTAATAGTGACTAATTAAGAGCCAATATGTTACTAATTTGCATGCTAATAAGCAACTAATTAATGGTGAATAGGTATACCTTAATATAAAGTGTTACCGAATTCAGCCACCATTACGATTTTGATCTTATATGACTGGATGTGCCAGCAGAGTTGCAGTGATTGTTCATAGATGGGAGTGTCAAACAAAACCCTGATGGGTCTGTAGACGCCTCGGCTACCTTCAATGAACTCCATGGACATTCAATTGAAGTGTATCCAAAACAGAAGAAGATCATTTGGAAATACACTGACAAAAACTTTCAAAATGGTTTAACTTGAACAACAGACTCAAAAATACTCCAACACGATCACTCTCTAGGCACAAATGAGCAGGCTGGCTGAAGGCAGAGAGGGTTTAAAATGCGGGTCTATGTTGTCACAATGAGGACAGCGTTCTAGAACTCACTGCTTTTTTTGTTCAAACTGTTGTTGCCATGACGCCACAACTAAGAAGATAAACAGCTGCTGGACATGTGTTCTGGTCAAATGTACAATGTAAAAATCTTCAGCCTGGCACACACTAAAATATTTTTAAATCTCAAAAACAATTTTGAAAATGTGAGAGAGCCCACACATGACGACATATCATGCCAGATTAACAGTTTTGTTTTCATAGTGTGTGGTGTGCAACAAGACGACCAACTCAGCACACCACACACTAAATCCTGGCTCAAACTGTATGATTTTTCCCTGATTGTATGAAAGTCGGGGTGGCATGTCAGCTCACACTGTACGACTCGATTGTCGGACACGGCCGGAGAGCTCACACTGTACGAGTGAAATCAGGACGGAGCGTTGACAATTGTTAATAAGTTTCATTTAAAAAAAACAACGGACGGCAGTTGGTGAAAGAGAAGGAAGTGGAAGCTGTTGTAGGATACAGAAAAGTAGATACAATCGTAGATATATGGAGACAAGTTTCATAAAAGTGCTGCACTGATGACCTGCACCAAAAACAAAAAAAAACAAGACGCTGGGTTGTGTCCTGCCGCTGGTCGCCATGACTACAGTCACACATAACTTCTGCAGGACCCTTTCATGACGTAAACGTCAAGATTTTAAATTCTAAATATTAAACATGTTTGAAATAAATCGGGGCGTCCCCGACGATCGCCGGGCAGATCGAGGATGTTAAGATTGGATCTTTGTACCGCTCACACTACAAGGTAATCTGAGCAGATAATCGGGTCCAAGCAGCCTCGAGTCGGGAGCGACCCTGGGATTGTCGGGAAGGAAGAATCGGAGCTCAAATCGGCCCTATTATCCTGCAATGTGAGCCAGGCTTTACCGATTCATTCACCAACAAACAGAGTCCCAACAATCACAACATGTTATCTGGCTCAGTCAAACATGACTTAAGAGTAAACAAACATGATGAATACCTACTAACTTAATGACGATGGTCTCCATATTATTGATGATGATATAAGATATAAGATGGTTTCTATACTGATTAGAGCTCTCAAGAACTGCCCTCTATGTTGTGCTTTGCCTCTGGTCACTTCCTGTCAGCACCTGTGTGTCCAATCGGACTCAAAGCTGATCGTTTGCTCTTACTGACATTGTTCCCTTTTTTCTAGATCCTTGCTTGTGTTTTACTTACTCTCTGATGTACGTCGCTTTGGATAAAAGCGTCTGCTAAGTGAATTGTAGAATTGTAGAATGATGGTCAAGCTAAATGTGGCTAGCGGTTAGCTGGTACATCCAAAACATTTTGGTCCAACTCCTTTCCTTGTCAGTTGGATTGTGGTTTGTTTCATCCATCTAACTTTATGCTTCCTGTTTACTGACGTCGCCATGGTAATGTGTGTTGTGCTTCCTGCTTCAGTCAGTTTGCTTCACTATTGGCTAATGGTCGGTCCCATGTGACAATTCAGAGTCTGTGCTCCTGTGTTCTCGGTGTTCTCCCCACACAACAGGATTTTACTTTTATAATGATTTCAAATTGGGGCGGTCCCGATCGGGAGGTTAAAATTACTCTTAACACACCTCACACAACAGGAGAATCTGGCAAGATAATCGGACCTTTGCTGACTTTGGTCAGAAGGGGGGAATCGGGCCCAAAACTGTCCTGATTATCTTCTAGTGTGTACAGTGGCAATTCTAGAGTCTGTTGGGGCCCTAAGCGAAAGGTAATTCCCACCAGCGTTTAGCAGGGCACTGATAGTGAGTGCTATCATGGGGCCCCCTTAGGGAGGTTTCCTACTGTCATTACGAAATTTGCACATTTGGTTTGCTGCTTTGGTTAAATGTTTTTGCGCCCTCTGAGGCCCCCTAAAGCGCCCCTGCCTACATATACATAATGTTTTAAGTATACAAATTTACAACTGCACAAAGCTTTCTTAAGTGAATGAAATATGTTGAATAAAAAAACATCTGGCTCAAAATGTCTCTTATCTTTTATCTCTTACATGATCTGTGTTACGCTCATCATTAATTTTCGTGAACAGTCGGATGCGCGACTCGACTTAAATGTTGCGGCCAAAAGGAATTGTGGGTCGTCATATCTCATCTCCTTTGGTAAAGGATGGTCCAGTGTATCCTAGGCTAAAGGAGGTTATAAAGGAAGCATTGACCAACCTTTCCTTAGCTTTTATAGAATTCAAACGGCTCTTATCATGGCCTCCACTTAAATGCTTCCAGGTCATTTTACTCAGTTAGGAACCTTCCTAAGAAAAAATTACAATTCGGACGCACCCTGCAGGAAGTACATTGAAATAGTCCAGTCCTGTAAGTGTCCCCTATAGTGCCAGATTGTTTTTAATGTAACAGGAAGGACTTAGTCATGCTGTACTACGAAGACTGATTAGATCACCATGGTAACTTATGCTAAACACCTAACCTGCTCTGGAGCAGATTCGTTTGTGATTAGTTTTTTTCTTTATCCTTTATTTAACCAGGAAAGAAACTCATTGAGATTGATCTCTAAAATCTCTTTTTCAAGAGTGTCCTGGCCAAGACGGACATCTATCTATTAAACAAAGAGTATCATGGGCCAATTGTGAGAGGGGACGACAAACTGTTGTGATGTTCAATTTTAAATGTATGAATAAAAGTTTTCATTTTCTGCTTTACTGATATAATCCACACAACAGAGAGACTGAGAAAGCACCAGGTCTCGTACAGTAGTTGTTGTACCTGTGAGTGTAAGATAATACTTAAGCATACCTTCCTGTTCAATTAGGCTTAACTTTATTTATTTTTATTAGTTCTGTAGTTACCATTTGTTACCGCCAGGAGTGCAGTTAAATATTAGCCTACGCCTCTAACTGTCAGACAGGACGTAAGAATATATCTGTGCAATTTAAGGACATAAACAGGTGTAAAGCTAGATCCAAAACCTCATATCAACTGTAACGTTCCCCGTATTGCTAGGGGATGCGGGGAACAACAATTATAAATACCCGGACTGAAGAGGTGGAGACCAGCAATTGTTATAAAAGCTAAAGTGTAAGGAATTAATTACAAAAAGAAAACCATTAACAGAGAACAAGCTTTAAATGCACATAAAGGAAATCGATTGAGAAACCGATGGATATTTAGATAATCTTGCACTCCTGCAGCCTGAGCTGAACTCCTCCAACAAACACTGCCCACAATGCCTTTATCCTCCTGCTGCATGCAGCCTGATTGACACTGGTGATTCCAATTCTCCCATCTGCCCCAGAAATGGGCGGAGCACCAACCTGTCAGCCACACAAGGAAACAGAGAGGGAGGGGAGAGACAACACAGAACACAACCCATAACATCAGCTTATTAAGATTAATAATACTGCAAACTTAACTTCACTATCTACAGAACTTCCCCGTGGCAACTCAGCAGGTAACACTAAAATTAACAGTGAGCAAGTGGGTGGGGTTATGATGCTGAAATCATGCTGTGAGAAACTGCTGGGATGTCCGCCCCACTAACGAGGTTGCGTCGTACTCCTTTCTGCTTGGCAGCATGTTCTCTTTCCCTCTTTCACTGAAAATCTGAATATGTCCAGTTATACCCAGCATTGATTTA